ACGATTGGATCACAGTCAAATGATTCTACATGTGGGCTGAATTTTTGTTATGGTTGTTATCGAGGTCGGTTGTTTTTTTGTTTTTTTATAGGAATAGGTGGGGGGGGAGCTTTAATTAAATCCCAAACGATAACAAATATCTAAGTATTTTCTCTGACAAGAGACAGATTCTAATTTGCCGAGGACGTGCATTTTAGACCTTCAGCTATAGTTGAAGACGTGCTATTTTGGCTTACCTTAAAGAAGAAGTGTATCTTCACTATTCAAAGAGATTTTCCAAAAATTGTTTACCACTTCTACCACTGAGACTGAGAGATGTGGGCAAACACAGGAAGACTGCTACTAGGAACTGTACAAAATTATGTTTCTTATATGTGTGGGATAGTTCAAAATGTGCCGCAACATTTCCTTTGGTCTGCTGCTGAGAGGACAAATGTGAAGCGTGCTGACAAAATGAGCTACTTCTCGGGTCAGGGCCCTATGGAAATAGATACATCATGCTTAGAGGTGAAGTTTTTACAATTTATAACTATAAAATAATAAAAGGCATGTTATACTTAAAGAATATGCCAACAATAGAAATCCTACAAACTTGATCTCTTAGTGTCGATTTTTGGCCAATGTCTCCATTTGTGGATTGGGAGAAGTAACTCATTTTGTCAGCACAACTCACAAATTATATGTGTCCGCTTCGTCCTAAGAGAGTTTTCAATAACATTACCATACTGGTATCCTGGTCATGGACAACGCTGTAGAGTCGAAGTCTGTTATCGTTGCTGTTAGTAACAATGCAGGATCCATCCGGAGACCTAGGATGGGGAAACAGTAGACAGAAATAACACACAACTAAACGACAGTTCTCCACTTGATGTCAAACACAAAAATAACAAGCAGACAGAAAAGGAGAGAGTGAAACTCAAAGAAGGAGTGAAAAAATGAGACAGAGAGCAGCAAAGAAGCAAGAGACCAAACAAGGGAATAAAACAGATAATAGATAGCATTTGTTTAGCGCAAATTCACGCTCAACAGCAAGCTGTACGCGCTTTCCAATCGACGTAACTACCCCAGCAGACCTGAGAGCATTCGGAAACAATCTCCACTTCCAGGGAAGCCCACAGAGAACGCTGCCATTTTGCAGGCTGCTAAAAACACACTAGCATTGAAGAGAACAACAGCCATAAAGCAATAAACAAACGGAGGAAAATTGGGTCAATTTACTCACCATTTGCAGCCCCTTAAGAAATTATCTCCACTTCCTTCCTCAAATTCTTTCCTGGCTTCTGCGAGGAACTGAGGGACGCATGTTCTGGCCAGACAATAGCTGGTGGGATGGACAAAAGAAGAGGTAAGGCGGGGGGCGGGGGAGGACACTTGGGAGGACGACCCGTAGTCAAGTGGTTACACAAAACAGTTGAAATTGTGTCTAAGATAAGATGGTCGCGGTTGCTCGATGTCGAGGAGAAAAATGGCTGTCTCGTACAGGTGGACGTTTTACACAGTGTCCTAAGTAGTGTATAGTGAGTGTACGGGTTTAACGCCCCTATCAACACATTTATGTC